AATCCTTTAGAAGCAGCTATTTGCTTCTAAGCTCTGATGTTTCTCCAGTTGCTATTTGTGTCATCATGTATTTGAGCCTTCCTCACATCTATGCAAAGCATAGCTGTAAGAAAGCTGTACTTCAAAATGGTCTCTTTAATCTGTAGTAGTAGAGTAGAAGCTCCCAGTTGCACTCCTCTTTCTGGAATATGCCTTTTAAAACCTTTGAGTGCATCCTTGGGTTTTCTATCTTAACAGCCAGGATATGAATGCCCAAAAGGCTTACAGCAATGTAACTATTTCTCATCACATTCCTATCCTGCTTGCTTACTGTCTCACTGACAGTAGGGAGTTCTCACAGATGGGTTCGTGTTTTGACATAATTACCCGAGTGAATGCTTCACTGGAATGTGTTGTCAGATGAACTGGAGTGAAAAGGCTAACAGAAAATACAGAGTGAAGAGTTACCTTCCTTTGGCTGACAACTGGGCCGTGTTCTTCATGCTGCTCATAGAAGTTCTTATTCAGGAGATGCATTTCCAAAGAAAGAAAAATTTATGCAGTCACAACACATGCTTTAAACAGAGAAATAAAATCATCTTTTTTCTCCTCTAGAATTTAATTTAGACCTTTCATTTCAGTAAGATACTGATGCACACATAGGCGTGGGTTTTCCTCCAAAGAGATTGACAGAAACCATGAAGTAAGGATATTCTTACTTGTCCCAGAGCTCATTATCTTTATGTCTTCAGACTCACTGGTGGTCTTACCAGAAGTCCAGTCACCCACCATCAAAAAATTGAACCCAGAAGCGCTGTTCCTCACTGCGCTGTGGCTCTCTGGCTATGTAATTCATATTGGCCATATTTGCTTCTATCATTGAATAATCAAGAAAGTAATGCATAAATTTTTAGATAACTTTTTTGTTTGTTTTTAATTTTATAAAGTAGACCATCATCTAAAAATGAAATGGTACTTTGGACAGAGTCAGCACATCTAAGAGTTGACTCCTCATTATAAATACCCTCAAAATTAGGGGTGCTTAATTTATGGTATCATCTTCCAGTGTATTTCATAGTATATGCTTCAAGTTGCCAGTCCAGTGTTTTGAAGTGAATTATGTTTCTGTTACTTAGAAACTAAAAATGAAAAAAAAATGATTATTCAAAGATGTTTGAGGAGATGGGGGTCTTGCAGGTTATTTCTTTCAGTAATTTTTGTTTATCAAGTCTGAGGAATGTATCCTTGGTTACACACATTGTGGACTGTTTCTCTGTTTAATTCTGAAGATCTTCATCGTTAAGTGCACTTAAAAATCATTATCAATAAAACTGATAATTTTAATGGCAACCCTCTGATGGAATTTTTTTTTTTACAGGTTTGTATATCTCTTGGAGATACTAAGTTTTGCTCTCAACATTTCTCAAAGAAAGCAGTTCTCAAAGAAATTCCAATTCCTGGAAATTCAGTTCCCTAGGAAATGAGGAACTTGCCTCATGTCCTGTTCTGAACTATTTACAGGCTTCATGTTGGCCCAGAGGAGGAATAGGCCAATAGCTTGTGTAGCAGCCAAAGCCTCAGTTGGTTTCAATCTTGGGTAAAAGGCAGAGTTTTATCTTTAAGAGAAAGGGTTATTGAAAGGTGTTTGGGGAAAACAGGGAGGAATGTGGCTTTGGAGTCCTTGGAATTGTGATGGAAACTAGTTTATATACCGAGTCTTACACTGATATTCTAGAATAGTGAGTGTGGAAGAAGCCATTACATTCTAGTGCTCTGTGAGAGTATGGGAGTTTGTCTGTGTGCATCTGAGAGAGAGCTGCAGTTTTATTCAGTGTGCTTTCTATGGATAGATTTAAGATCTTAGCTTAAAGCTGAAGACCTCTGAATTCTTCTGGGATACTTTCCCATTTTGGAATTAGACTTAATGAAGTTTCTTAGTAAAGAACAAATGTGTCTCCTTGCTGTTACGTACTTCTGCTCTTAAAGATACATGAATAAATAGAGTTGCTTTTACTTGCTATTGCTAAATGTTAATGAATTGCAGCATATGTAATTGGAGAAAGTTTTAGATGAGGGATTCTTTATAGTTCTTTTTGAGTGTGTATAATAACTGCAAAGAAGCTATCCGTGGACGGATGCATAGTGAGAGTGCACAGCAGTATACAGAATCATGAAAAACTGTCAGTTAAGGCTTTGTTTGTGTGGTTTTGACATGCTTTGGGCTCAAGAACCTTTTGCATTTAATTCTTATAAGAAATTTCTTTGTAATGTTAATATATGTGTGTATGCGATTCTTCTTACTGTTTGTAAACAACCAAAGAAATAAATATTCCTAAAGATGTTAACACTTTGCAATCCAGCAATCTCTGTTCAGGAACTTGTAAGCAGAGCATTACAGTTGTAATTCACTCAAAGTGAACTATTACTTAAATACCACTGTCTTTTTTTTAACCAGTCCAGGTAGCAACTTTAGCTTGGCATTGTTCCTGTGTGTGTGTTATGTTACTTCAGTTCTGATTATTTGCATAGCAAATAAAATATAGCTGGAGCAGATAAAAGGACGTTTTAGACATTTGTCTTTCAGATTATGTTCATTATGGTGCATTCAGTATGTTTTCTTAATTTGTGCTTCATTTACGATAAGTTATGCATACACATGGAAACAAGGGATAAATGTGAGACTGATAGTTCTTGAATGTTTTCTGTTCTTGTCTACTTTGCTAGACTGTGGGCAGCCTTCTGTCTGGAAGTTCTGTCCTGAGTTTCAGTTCTTTTACGCATGTGTGGTATCGCTCAGTGGTCATCTGGTGGTCTTTTGATGAAGGCTCTATGTCTTTCTCGCTGTGTACTCTTTGACCTGGGTCAAGTTGGAAGACGCTTGACTAGCTCTGGCTGATCATCTCATCGGCTATAACTCTGTCCAACAATCTGCCGCTTCATTAATTTGTGGTTTTACTGTCCGAGCCTGCCACCTTGCATTCCAGAGATAGGATAGCTAACAATGTTATTTGGAGAAACAGGAGACCTGCTGTCTGTACTAACTGTCTATGTCTGTAGAAAAGCATCTGTTATCAGCAGCAAGAACCTGACTTAGCAAGGCCAGATCTGTAGCTGCCGATTCAGCATCCCATGAAGGCACTTAACTTTTAACCTAACTTATTTTCCTTGATTCAATCATTTGAGGTCCCTTCCAACCCCTGCAATTCTGTGATTCTGTAATACTCTTGCTCATGTAAGGTAAGTGATCATCTTGGCCAGCTCTGTGTATTTTGTGAGGTCATGATTCTTGTTTACAGGAGGTTTATTGTGTTCACAAAGTTCTCTTTTCATATATTCTTAGAATTTCCTACAGTATTTTGGTTTTGTTGTTAATACAGATCCAGAAGATTGGAAAAATCCAATCATGCCTACAGCACAATCATATTGACTGTCTCTCATGGCACCAGTGACATATTATAGTTAGCTACTTTTGTCATTGTGTCCCTCTCGCAGGACTTTGAAATCCTCTGAGCAGAGGGTAGGCTAAAGTCAAAATCTCCAGCACTATGGATAAATGTGATAATCATAATGCTTTGGTATAAGAAGGTAGCAGCTGACACGTTGTATACTGAATGCTATGAGTTAGCTTCTGGTGATGCCAGAAGGGAGTTGAGCTGTACTGACTGCATTCATTTTATCCCATTTACCAGTTTTAAATGGATGAGGGACAGAAATTTGTTTTCAAATGGATAGATTGTTAAATTATGTAATTAAGTAATAATGTTGGTAATCCTGGTATTATGAAACAATTTTATGTCTAATAAATACAGTTTATAACCATATGCTTTACAAAAGTAGTGAAATTTTGATAATGAGTATTTACTGTGATACTCTTCTATGTATTTTCCAGTAAGTAAAGGAATTTTGAGTTAATTAAGGAAGGTGAATTCTGCAGAACTTGGTGTAATTAAAAGGAGTTAATGGTTATGCTCCTTTGTCTAACTTATTAAGTGGACCATGTAAACAATTTTCAAAACTGTGCTATAATTATTTGAATGAATCAAATCAAGTGTCAGTGTGTATTCCAGTATTCTTGTCTGTTTCTTGACAAATTTTCCTTGGTTGCCTTTCTCAGAGTCCATAATGACTTCCAGTTGGCCAGTGTTGATGTGTAGATAAGTCCTACAGATTTTTCACAAATTGAGAGATTATGCCTTTTGAATAAACTGAATCTTTCTGTAGAGCATTTAGAGTACTATCCATCTTGATAACGATAAGCATAAAAATACATACTTAATCATATGTCTCACTCCAATTTATAGGAGGGAGAGGAGGTTCTTTGATATCTGTATACCCGGCGTGAGATTAAGAAACAACAGTTCAAATGTTGGTCCGACCAGTTTATTACAAATCTTAATCAGGGAGATGGGGAAAGGGAGGATGGACACTATTACAAATTAGAGTAATGGGGAAGGGAAGGAGGGCAATAGAAAAGATAGGAAAGAAGCAGCAAGGAGTCTTTATAGGAAGCAAGAGGGAGATAGTCACCACCATAGATCCAGCATGGTTCGTAGTTCAGTCATTGATCTTCAGTAGTGGTGGGTCATCGGGCATTGTTGTTCTGTTGACAACAACAGTGACCACGGCAATGATGGCCACTTTTCCAACTTATTTATAAGTCCAAAGTGGTCGAGTCAGCTCTCCTTGGAGTGGCAGCTTCTGGCTCTGGGATCTCAGCAGAAACTCCTTTGTTCCCATCTTCCAGGCCTTGCCAGCAGATAAGAGGGAGCAGGGATGCCCACCTGCATCCTGTTTTTCACAGGACACAATGGTATCATTCCCCAATTTTCCCATACCAAGTTGGAGCTATTTAGTCACAGGCCAGTTCTTCCACCAGTAAACACTCCTGAGCACTCTCTTCTGGAGGCAAGCAGCTCTGGAGGAAGGTGCTTTCAAATGTCCACAAAGTGATGTTGATTGTCACACGGTAGCACCCATCACTTGCCTCCTCAATAAATCAATCAGAGTCTTATCACAAAAAATACCTCAGGAAACAAGCTTTGAGCCAAAAGCAAAGAAGGATTCTCACACCATTGAATCTGCATTCTAACTAGTGTTTCTTGGTGTATGGGTCATGGGCTGAACCACTGATTGATCACCCGAGGCAAGGACTGGGTCAGCTGTGGGAGCACAGGTGAAGACAATTCATCTGTGTGACCGGAAGGGGTGGAGCCTGGATCTACCTCTCTTAGACCCCCCCTATTTATGGGCTGGCTACCACAGAAGAAAGATCTCTTTTTGGAGATTCCTTCTTTGTGGAGTCCTTTATTATGAGCCTGAATCTTCAAATAGAGGTGAGTATTCCTTCTCTGTTTGTTTCTTTCTATTTCACCGTGATGATTTTTCCAACTGTGATGCTTGGTGTTGTTACAGCTGAATTTAACAACCTGTAAGTAGTTTATACCTACAAAATATCTCAAGATAAACGAGGGGGAAGTGAGCTGTTGAAGTTGTGGGAGCAGGGGTTGGACTCAATGATCTTTTGAGGTCCCTTTCAACCCTTGTAATTCTGTGATCTATGTTGGCAAGTGGGTTTCAACAAACCATTTGCTGTGGGATATATTGTAGCTTCTCACTTATTTGATTTAACTTAAGGAACTCAAAGGCACTGCTGCAGTTTAATCGCAGTGGTTCTTTAATGGCCTATGCTGGTTGATACTGGATATAACATGCTAAACTATATAGAATGAATGCTTTTCTGTCTTTCAGTGCTGATACAAAGGCAGGAGGGAAGACAATATGCTCCCTAACTGGGTGCTTTCCAACAGTAACACTAATTTGGTTAAATACCTTTTCATATTGAATACTGAGTTTTGCATGATGAGTACTGAACAATAAAAGCATATTAAAGACAGTTCTGTTAACAATACAGACTATACCTGTGCACAGTTATGAAAGAAAATGGAAAATTATCTGTGCTTTCTGTAACTGATTTTTTTTTTTTTTTTAGACCTCTACAAGAGATTCATTTTGCACAACTTTGCAATTCTTGAAATGTGTGGAAAAAGGTAAATATCGTAGTGAGATTTATAATCTGAAAGTATGCTAAAAAGTATTATTTTTCCTCTTTATATGGCATTTATAAGATTTTAGTTTTGAGTTATCTACTGGGTATTGGAATAGGAAGAAAAAAGCCAGTAATAGAGGTCAGCGGTGTACATAAAGAATGGGATCTGGAAATTCTTCTGTGAGGGGAGGAAATAAAAGTAAAGATCTCCTGATAGGAGTGGTGTAGTGATAGCAGATCCTTTGTTGGAGCTGCTGAAAAAATGCATTGTGGACATTGAGAGACAAATATTCGATAATTTGTGTTAAGCAGTTTAATTAACATAAATTAAAATAAAACATAATTAACATAAAACAGTACAGCAGTCTTAAACTATTAGTAGAAATGAATTTTTTTATTATTTTCAAGAAGGCTCATTGGCTTGATAGTACAAATACCAAGGAAAATCTAGACTTAGGATATACAAATATCTCGTTATTTTTCTGACAGTCTAGATATTTTGCTGTAGTTGTAGTATGGGTGGGAGAGGGTAGCAGAGGTAGACAGGAAGAAAGTCACTTGAAGAGAGAGTTTGTTCCTAGAATAAAATTACTAGGTTACAGTCTATGAACTTGATGGATTACTGTAACTCTTGGCATTATAATTTAACTGTACGTTGTATGCCTACACTGGGATACTATTTGTAATGCTTAATTTCTGAAAATTTCACTTCAGAAGTGAAATAACCTTTTTGCATTGCATATGCAAACGCGTGCTTATTTGTGATGTGTGCTGTTAGAGCTTAAAATACTGAGATGAGGACTTTCTGCTTGTTTTACAGACTTGCTTGCAATCAAATACATGACCATGGGGGATATGAAGACCCCAGATTTTGATGATCTTCTTGCAGCCTTTGACATACCAGATGTGGTTGACCCAAAAGCAGCTATTGAACCTGGACATGATGACCATGAAAGCCACATAAAACAAAATGTGCAAACAGATGAAGATTCTCATACACTATCATCATCCGATGTTGGTGTGAGTGTCATTGTGAAAAATGTACGTACTATTGATTCTTCAGAAAGTGTAGACAAGGATGGCCACCATTCCACAGGCAATGGCTTGCATAATGGCTTTCTAATATCCTCAACTCTTGATAGTTACAGTAAAGATGAAAGCAAGTCATTTAAAGATGATGGGTCAGCTTCTGAGACTGCACTAAAGGATTCGGCTTTCAACCAGTTTAGTCCAATTTCAAGTGCTGAAGAATTTGATGATGATGAAAAAATTGAGGTAGATGATCCTCCAGATAAAGAAGAGATGCGTGCAAATTCCAGGGCAAATATCTTGATGGATTCTGTATATCAGCAGGAATATGACAAACTAAAGACACTTGGGGGAGAGAATTTGATTAAATCTGGTATCTCAGTTTCAAGTAGTATAGATAAAAGTAAAGTTGCTAAACGAGAGACAAACTCTATGACTTTACATGTCTATGAGCCTTTCAAAGCTCACAAGGCAGAGAACAAATTGCTAAAAGACAATTCTGAGAAGCTTCTTGAAAACAGAGTACTTGATGGAAAACTGTGTACTGAAAAAAGTGAAACAAATCTTGCCAGCGTTTCACAGTCCAAAACAGAGTCATCAGCAAAGCTTTCTTCATGCATTGCTGCGATTGCAGCACTGAGTGTTAAAAAGGCAGCTACAGATACCAGCAAAGATTTACAGTCTATGTTAGGAGACTCTTCTCCATTACCAAAACATATGAGTGAAAGTCCCCTAGCTATTGAAAAATCACCACCTGAATCTCAGAGTCTTATTGATGGTGCTAAAAAGCCATCTATTAAACCACCTGATAGTCCCAGAAGTGTATCAAGTGAAAACAGTAGCAAGGGATCTCCATCTTCTCCTGCAGGGTCCACGCCAGCAATTCCTAAAGTTCGCATAAAAACCATCAAGACTTCCTCTGGGCAGATCAAGAGAACTGTTACTAGAGTGTTGCCGGAAGTTGATTTGGACTATGGTAAAAAAACAGAACAGACTGCTTCTATGGTAACTTCTGTGACATCCCTCCTGTCCTCACCAACTTCTACTGCTGTCCTTTCTTCTCCTCCTAGAGCTCCTCTCCAGTCTGCAGTCATTACCAATGCAGTTGCATCTGCAGAACTCGCACCAAAGCAGGTCACTATCAAACCTGTGGCTACTGCCTTTCTCCCAGTTTCAGCAGTTAAAACAGCAGGTTCACAAGTTATTAATTTGAAGCTTGCTAACAATACTACAGTGAAAGCCACTGTACTATCTGCTGCTTCTGTGCAGAGTGCCAGTAGCGCCATTATAAAAGCTGCCAGTGCGATACAGCAGCAGACTGTTGTGGTGCCAGCATCAAGTCTTGCCAGTGCTAAACTTGTGCCAAAGACAGTCCATCTTGCCAATCTTAATCTTCTGCCTCAAGGTGCTCAAACCACATCTGAACTCCGACAAGTGCTAACGAAACCCCAGCAACAAATAAAGCAGGCAATAATTTCTGTAGCGGCCCCACAGCCTTCTAAAAAGGTGTCTCGAGTCCAGGTGGTGTCATCTCTACAGAGTTCTGTAGTGGAAGCATTTAATAAAGTGCTGAGTAGTGTCAACCCTGTCCCGGTTTATATCCCCAACCTTAGTCCCCCTGCCAATGCTGGAATAACGTTACCAACACGAGGTTACAAGTGTTTGGAGTGCGGTGACTCCTTTGCTCTTGAAAAGAGCCTGACCCAGCATTATGATAGGAGGAGCGTGCGAATTGAAGTGACTTGTAATCATTGTACGAAGAACTTAGTTTTCTACAACAAATGTAGTCTTCTTTCCCATGCTCGTGGACACAAGGAAAAAGGAGTTGTAATGCAGTGTTCGCACCTGATTTTAAAACCAGTCCCAGCAGATCAAATGATAGCATCTCCTTCAAGCAATACTGCTACATCTATGCTTCAAAGCCCAGTGGGAGTTGGTGTGCACACTGTAACTAAGATACAGTCTGGCATAACAGGAATAGTCATATCAGCCCCAGCAAGTACACCCATCGTTCCAGCTATGCCACTAGATGAAGATCCATCAAAACTCTGTAGACATGGCCTAAAGTGTTTGGAGTGCAATGAAGTTTTCCAAGATGACACATCTCTTGCTACGCATTTCCAGCAGGCTACAGACACAAGTGGACAAGTAGAGTATCATATGTTTAAATTCCAGTGTTTCGCCTATAAGCCTAGGGGACTTTGGAAATGTTTTTCTTTTATTTAGATGTTAATATTATATTAACATCTTAATTTTTATATGACATCTTATATTTAGATGTCATTAATTAAATGATGGTGTGACAATTAAAAGGGATTCTGGTGTGTTTCAAAGCGTTCAGTTAATCTCGATGTAGCAGCTTGTGGCTGTGCATCAGCAAGGAGCTGAAAGGCTCTATCCTTGCTCAGACTGATTAAGCCCTGGGTATATCTTGGAATCTTACAGTAGTGTGCGGGGTAAGGGTTTAAGTCCTTAAGTTAGGAAGGTAACTCTTCTGGTGATGCATATTAGACTTATCTTTTTTTCCATAATAGGTTAATTAATGATCATTTGTGATATAAGATCCAGTAGTCCTTGGGAGACTCCTTCAGTGCTTGGTACTATGAAAACAAGGAATTAAGAAGGCAGTCTATAAGCATAACAAACCAAATGGATGAGACCAACAAATACAGTGAAAATAGGTTAGAAGGATGAGGCAAGAATAAAATGGAAAAAAATAGAGCAACAAAGATTAAATACTAAAAAGTTCTGTACTTGCTTTCTGTGGGGACAGTTTTAGTATAGCCAGGGAAATGTTTTGTAGAAACACCTTTGGCCTTTCTTGCTGCTTCTCTCCAGGGGTTTTTTGCCCTGTTGCTGCAGTTTGCTCTGTGTGTACATCCTGTTAGATAATGTCTACTCTAGTGCATTTACTGTAGGAAAGCAATGAAGTCTTCATACAATGACAAAATGCAATATCAGTTAAGTAGAAAGTTAAATAAGGGTACACAGATACTGCCCACGGATGTGTTTATATCTCCTGTTGGGAACTCACTGTCTTATGAGGACTGAGGTATGAACAACGGAACAAGGCCTTAATACCTGCTTAGTAGGGCATGGACTTCCAAATTAAAAAAAAAGAAAAAAAAAAAGCAATTTTCATATCATGCCATTTTAAAAGAACATTATTAATTGTTTATAAACATAGTTTTAAAGTGTTTGTTAAACTATCCTCTTAAAAATGAATTAAATATTTTTCTTAGTCATAGAGTTACTCAGGTTGGAAGGGACCTCAAGGATCATCAAGTCCAACCGCAGCCTAACCATAGTACCCTAACTCTAACAACCCTCTGCTAAATCATTTTGATATGTCAAAACTTGTTTTCATTTCTCTACATTTTTTTTTAAGTTGCCCTTTATTACATACCGTGTGGTGAAGCTTTATAGTTACATCGTGGAAGCCATTCAACTGAAGGGTTGCTTTAGTGAGAGCAGTACCTCCTGCTTTCTTGTCTTTTCATCCCCTCATCAGCTAGCATATGCATCTCTGTAAGAGTAGTGTTTGCTGAAGAAAGTCTCTGTATAGGTGTTTAATAAATTTCAGTATATTGTTGTGATACATTACCACTCTAAAAGCTTGAAAAAGAATTATTCTGATTTCTGTTTTCTTAGTGCTCGGCACTGGGTTTTCATTATGAAACTGATTATTTTGGGAGAAGAAAACAGAAAAGCTAGATACAATATTTTCACTTGAGGAGGAAGAAAGATAAAAAAAAAAATTGGATTTTGCAACTTATCATTCTTCTTAGTGCCCACCTAATTACTCTTAAAATGGAAATTGCACTTTTATGTGTTACGTATAATTCTTGTTATAAAGGTAGAATGTTTATTTTAAAATAAAAAATAGTAAAATATTTTTAGCAATTAAAGAATGTTCCCTATAACATTGTTACCTTTCTGCAATATCTTACTTATGTTAGTAATTCTGTTAAAAGAAATGAGACTATTCGGTGATGGGTTTCATGGCTGAATGAAGTCATCACTAACTTACTGGGGAAACAAAGCAACAAGCCTGGGCTAATTCATGTTAATGTTCATCTTATTTACAGCTGTAAGTGTATTGTTCTTGTGGATGCTGCATAACTTATTTACCTTTATGCTCACAGTTCTTTTGTATATTTTCCACCTCCACAATTTTTTCATCTGACTCTTTTTTTCTGAAACTTTGACTTCAAATTCAGGCAGGTGATGGTTTTTAGAAACTATGTTTGATTTTGGTATGGGTTGGAATGAGAGAACTGCAATTTAATGCCACCTTAAGCCCAGAATAAAATGGTAAGCAGAAGTGAGTTTCACAGTAGATTCTTCTTGTTCTACAGTAATCAGTTTCAAGTAAATATATTACTGTACTTTTCAAACTAGCAAACCAGTAGCCCTAACAAATAGCATCACTGGCCTTTTGTGTCAATCTGAATTATTGACATGGCAGATGAATCTTGCAGACTGCTTGTTGCAGAATTGGAGATACACTTATTTAGGATTGGAATGTTGCATGGATGTCACATAACATAGAATCCAGGTTTCTTTTTATAGTGTTTTGGAAGGACTATGAAAGCCCTCTATGTAAGAAGTTTTGTTTTGTTGTTTTCTTACATAATATAAAACTCCAGGTTCAGTATTACATTGCTGCTTATTAATACATATATGACAAAAGATACATTTTAAGAATGGTACTGAAGCTGAGTAAATGTGGCAAGCATATGTTAAGCCAAGTTATGGTAAGTCAGGCTTTGGCCACCTGTGAGCCTGAGCTGAAGAAAGTTAGCATCCCAAGGCAGTTCTGTGCACTGTCAGAAGGTTCAGACCATGGCTGTTGGTCAGCTGAGGACAAACACTGGCATTTCAGTAGATATCTATATATGTGTTTGAGCACAATTTCAGCCTTCCTGTGTCATAGAGGTTCTAATCAGAGTAATAGTACAAAATGGCTGCAGATCATTCATCTCAGACAAAGCTTTCTGCAACCTCTATGCTATCTACTAATTCTTCAGGCTGGTGGTAGTGTTAATATTTAACCTGAATGTGGAGAATGGTCGATTTTCTTTGGTTAACTTGCTCTGTTTTAAAGTTTTGTGTTTTGCCATCCTGCAATCAGGACATTTGAGAACTATGTTTGGATGGAGACTGTGTTCAAACACACCATGTGGTGATCACAAAGTAAACGTTAAAATGAACCATGTGAAAGACGACATCTGCTTCAGAGTTGTGTGACCTTAAGATATTTCATGTTAACATTTCTCCCGAAAATTAACGTTTAAAAAAATTTCACTACTATTTGTATGCAGCCTCAAGAAAGCATTTAGATGAAAAGAAAAAAAAAAATGGAGTGTACGGATCCTGGTACAAAAATACTCTTGTTCTTATCAGTAATATTGTCAATATATAAGGCAATTAAGAAATTATTTTAGACCTTGGTATTAAACAGGGTTCTATTTGGAAAAAAAATAATAAATTGGCAGTGACTGTAAAGGCTTTGTGCTTCAATTGTTGCAGTTAGGATCTGTCTCTTGCTGATTAAATGGGAACAAGTGATTTTTTTGTACTGGCAAAGTTGCCAATACTAGTAAGGCAGACTTCTATGAAACCTATTTGTAGCAGTGTAGTATCTCTTCTGCAATAGTAGCTTTGATTCTGCTACTGTATGCTCTAAATCTTACCATTTTTAAAAGATTCTTAAAGGAGACTGGCCTGAATTGGAAGAAGGGGGTGACTTTTGGTGAAGCCTCAGTAAGAAACTGTTTTTACTTTTTTCTGTAAGAAATTGTTTTAATGTGAGAATGATTTTCTTAATTATTTGAAGATTTCTTTATCCATAGGTTAGTAAATAATTTTTAATACAACTCTAGAGATGTACACATCATTCCATCTGCAAGATTCTTATGCATAACACTGCTAAAAATATGTAAATCTCATGTTCATAAGTACCCATGTCTTGAAGGAGTCTTAGTTTTGCTTTTAAATCTTCCTAAGTCGCTGGTGAAATTCGTAATTCCCAGGTCATAAGAAATAATTTCAAAAGCCCTATGGAGTAAGATCTTAGGAAATGAAGTTAAATTCATTGTTCTGCAAAGACTTGTGATGGTATTTCTGTTGGAGTCAATGAAGCAACTTTGGTGATAAAAGTTAAGCAGAAGCATCTCTCCATACAAATGTCAGCCACTGCTTAGAGATCCTAGAGATGTATTGCTGTAGGTGGAACGTTTTCACCAGTGGTTTTACAGGTTCTGTTCTTTGTGCCCTCCAGTGATGGAAAGCAACTGTGAACAAAAGTGAATCCTGTTGACAGCTCCATTGCATCATTTGCATTTAATCTCAGGAATGGCACAAAGTACCCAAATAATTCCAGTATTTTTGATTTGGCAAATGGTCAACACATAGTTGAAGATTTAAAAATATATATATTTATGTGTAACAAAATATAAGAAAAGAATTAGTATAGGAAGTAACTCCTGTACTTGGAAAGATAGCTGTTCAAAGGCTTTCTAAATATGTTAGATATCTGTAGTTTTTACTCAGATGCACAATATTTTTGTATTTTACAATGCAGATACTGGAGTCTAGCCTGAGAAATGCATTTTGAAATTATCTACAGACTTTCTGATTGATAATACCCCATTTATTGGTATTGAGGATATTCCCAATAGAATTCATCAGGAGCAAGGATCAAAGAAAGTAAAGATAATTATAATGTACTTCACTCAAGCCCCTTGCACTAGTAAGGTAATCTTGTGAGGCACCTACGTAAAATTTAAATAAACTAACATGTATCTTCTATGGTCAGTGGTGAATGAGAGCTTTGTTGTATCAGAATCTGTCTCAGAATGCCAATATATCTGGTGCCAGTTGCTACAAGGTTAGTCAGTAGAGTCTGAATTTAGACCTTGCCTACTTATTTTGGCTCACATCACAGTCATAGCATTTAACCTTTTATTTATATTACAGTGTTTGACATGAGAAATTCTGTATAGCTGAACACAACCTTTTGTTTCATCTGTTTTGGTTTATTGTTTAGAAGACGTGCAATATCTGCCAGATGCTGCTTCCTAACCAGTGCAGTTTTGCATCACACCAGAGAATTCATCAGCATAAATCTCCATACACGTGTCCTGAATGTGGAGCAATCTGCAGATCTGTCCACTTCCAGACTCATGTCACTAAGAACTGCCTGCATTATACTCGAAGAGTTGGTTTTCGGTCAGTATTATGATTACTTTCATTGTCAATTTATATGTAATTTATGCTTTCAGAAGTAATTTTTCATTTTCATGAGCATTGTTTGTAGAATAGAGCTTCATGGGTTTAAGATTGTCATGGCAATAATTCTATTAGTACTATAAATTTTTGAGTAAATACTGCATTAGAATTCAGCTTTGTTTTGAGCATCTGCTCTTGTATGTTGTTAAATCAGTATATTAGCTAATCTCATCTAGCCATAAAATGTCAGATTCAGGGCTTTGCAGTTTCTAAGATCTAGAAAATTCAGGTGTATTTTCTTAATTTCAGGTTCATAATGGGCTTCTTGATTTTTATTATTTTTTTTTTTCAGAACACTGAATTTTAGACTGTTCTTTTTGGTAGAATAATCATGTTCTTATTTTCTACCAGAATTTATTATCAGGCTGTGAATGGGCATACTGCACCTGTCTGGTAGCATAGCTAGAACAACTTTGTCAAGTCCTTTTTAATCTATTTGCTGTGGGAAGGGAAGATTCCTCCACTTTACACCACTTGAAGATTACCTTTCTCACTCCAATAGCCTGTTCATCATAGTTACTCTTTGGTTTTCCTTTTATTCTTTTGTTTCCCTGTAATGGCATCTCACCGAGAAAACAGGAATCAGAGGCATTTTGTGGAAATGTTGCATTTTGAAAGGCATGAGAGTTGTTTTATCTTGGATTGTTACTGACTGACTGGCAGACAGCACAGCAAGGGATGGAGAATCAGCCCATAGTGCTCTGCTCAGCACTCCTCAGGCATCACCATTCCATCCTATCTGACCATAGAGAGGCGAGTTAGAATCCCACCCAGCAGGTAGCTTCTTCTCCCTCACGATACCTGTTCCTTTGCTGGGGTGTCTTTGACATCTTCCTCTCAGGAAGAAACCATTTTTCCTGCATCGGGCCAGCTGCTGCAGCAGTTGGTTCTCAGACTGAATCCATGGCCTGACACAACTCTCAGCTCCTCATGTTTCTTTGGATTCTTTTAATCTTGTCTCCCAACCACAGTGATCTTTTTTATTATATATTTTTTTACATCTGCCTCATCCACTCTCCCGCTCTTTCCCCTCACCTGTGTCTCTTAACATCGTCTTCAGGGACTGTTGACCTGCACCAGTAACACTGGAAAATCCATAAATTCTTCATGAGGATTCATTATAATGTTACTGAACTTCTCAAGGTTTACCATTAACATCTCATGTCACGCTAAGTCAATTGCTTTATTTGGAGATACTAAACCAAAAATGCCTAGGCAAAGAGAAGCAGTATCCAGGAGAGTGTAAGGCCCTCCTTGCTGCGCTCCTCATCATTGGGACCTTTCACTGGGGAACCACAGCCTGTCCTGCCTTTCCAAAGGACCTATGAAGCAGCTTCATGTCAGCAGTCCAGGCGAGTTGTCTGACATAAACTGGCTGAACATTTCAGCCTTAAGTTGAATTGCATCCTTCCATGTTGAGAACAAAGGTGATACAGCACTTAAGGAAAGGAAGATTTGGGCCTTATGAATTGCTTTTAACATACAACAGTGGATGCTGAGGATTATTTATGACTTTGCATCACTAAAGAATAAAAGCCAGGCAATGGGGAAGGGAGGGGTAAGATGGGACCCAACTCTGCCGAGTGACAATGAAGCAGTGGGGCTCTGGGGACTCACTGCAATGAGAGGGCCACACTCTGTCACTACAAAGAATGGTTCATCTCTGTGTGAGACTGGAAAAGATGAAGGCCATTTAATTTAGAAAATGCACTGGGAAGTAGAGTACAGATAGATATAAACTGAATTTGTATTATTAGGAATGTATATTAAGTGTTTAAAAAAGAAAAGGTGATATTTCATAAAATTCAAAGGTGGGACATTTTAAAAGAAGAGTAATTATTGAACGCAATTTTTAACTATTTCCTGCTTTATTGCTATCATCAAAGCATGAAAACAGTTGGAAAATCGTGTGGTGTTTATACAAAAATCATATTACCGTGATAGGTGCAAAAATTATTATTTTGGAAGCTACAGTTCTAGGTTTAAATTGTAAAGCCCTTACTGCAAAATACTGATCAATAAGAAATTTGTTGATTTGAGAGATGATGTTGTAATTGCTTATTGTAGCTTATTCTTGTGCTTACTGGATAGTACTTAGTCCTTGAGGTGCATGAAACTAAAAGGGGCCATTGTGTGTAGAAATGCTCATGTGCTAATTTTAATTTAATTTTTTAATAATTTTATTTTAGAATAGATGCGGAAGGGTCATAAGTTTTCAACACTGCAGAAGTATGTTTTGAAAAATATTTTCAGAATTCCAATCTAATACACTGATGTGATTGTAGAGATTCAGTTTGGTTGTCCTGAATTTAAATTTACTCTTTCTTTTTTTATCCAAGCAAATCAATTACTAGTACCAAAGATCATTAATATTATGACTTCATTAAATCTAAACAAGGGAAATGGTCTAAATGTTTTGTTTACTGGTTTTCCATTTTGGTGGTAGCAGTGTACCTTGCACAATCCACTGCATGTGGAAAAAAATGCATTTTGTAAAACTCTTTACAAATTTGCAAAGCATTCTTTTCACAATCAATGGAATACTTCTTTGTTGACCCTTCTGTCTATTCTGTTGTAATCCCATAAAACATGTTCTGACTTCATCTCTTAGATTTACAAAGTTAAATTTGGGAAATTTCTTCTTTTCTCCTTTTTGATATGCAAATCTCTGCTTATATTGATTCCTACTCTGTCATGCATACTTTTAAACTGACAGAATAATGTAGTTTTATCTGGTTGTGTATATATGCTCACCTCTTTCACTTGCTTGAAAACCAGTGTTGATTCCGTGTCTTGAAGTACTGCTTTTTGCTAGGCTGAACTGACTCTTCTCCATTCTTTTTTGCAGCTGTGTGCATTGCAATGTTGTGTACTCTGATGTGGCGGCACTCAAGTCTCACATTCAAGGTTCTCATTGTGAAGTCTTTTACAAATGTCCTATCTGTCCCATGGCATTTAAGTCTGCTCCAAGCACACATTCCCATGCCTATACACAACACCCGGGTATCAAGATAGGCGAACCAAAGTAAGCAAAATTAATCTTTTACTGTACTTACCTGCATTTTAATAACTTATGAAATTGCATTCTGTTCTGTGCTTACAAAATCTTAAGTACCGTACAACCAACAGTTTATCATCTGTTTGGTAATGTGTGGTGGTCTTGTGATATTTTCATGAGTTTTTAGTTAATTTGAGTTTTTGGTTAATTTGGAAGATTGGTTCTTTCAGTGCTGGCAGTACTCAGGGGTTGAGGTGTGTGCTTGTTGGGGGACCTCCAGGCAGCAGTCACCACAGATGTGGGCTTGGGGCATGCACTGCTGGTGGCTGTACAATGCTTCGTGCAAGCTGTGAGCTCTGGGGGCAGTGTGCTTGGTTTTAGCTCCACTTAGGCTATTGCATCACAAGAACAAGCCCAGGCTATTAGGTGAGAGGTGCTGGCTATTAGACTTGTCCAGGGCTGTCCTCCAGTTCAGAATAAAAATATCCATAGAGCTATACTATGTAAGCTTTTTGTGATACATGAGCTCTCTTTTCTGGATTAAGGCCAAACTCTTCATTCTGCAGCTGGGAAGGTTGCACATAACATCAGTAAGTGCTTTACTGAAGGCAGCAAGGAGCATAATTAGGAACTGAGATTCAGATCTCAGTTGTACAGATGTTGAATATTCAGGGACTCCACTGCAGTCAGTGGGAGCTGCAGATGCAGCACGTGTGAAATTCAGACTTCGTGCTGCACAGATCACAGCTTAGTGCTTCCAATCGCAGCCTTTCTTCTGCCTTCCTCCTCTGTTGGCACAAGTGTGGTGCTGAAAGTAAATACTCCACTATTTAACTCTGTTCTGTTTCTCTGAAGGGCACAAAGCATACTGTAAGCACTGCAGAACATTGTAACAAATAGTAGACTCGGGAAAATAGAAGGCAGGTGTGAGAAACAATGCATCGTGCACTGTAATAATGAGATTTCACAGGAATCTTTCTTACCCCTTTTTCTCCTAGCCTATGAAAAGGAGATTTTTATTATTTTTAGTAAAATAGCAACAGAATTACTGTGTAGGGCTTTCCCAGTCTCTGCAGTGCTTGGAGTTCCTTGCTCCAGCTTCACAGGCATCTGTAGGAGCGCAGTGTCACCTCTGGGCTCAGAATGCCCACGTTGATTACTGTCTGATCACTTAAGGTCTATCCAAAGTTATCAGGACCTGTGGTTTTCCTTAGAATTAAATTGTTAGTGAACAGCATAAATACCTTTAACTGGAACTGAACTTGAGAAGGGATGTTAAAAACAACAAGAAGGGATTCTACATGTACACAGATCAGAAAAGACAGGCTGAAGAAAGTGCAGCTCTTAAGTAAATGAGAAAGTAAAACTGGCTACAACAGATGTGAAGGCGGCTGAGGTACTCAATGAGTTCTTTGCTTCAGTCTTCACTGGCAGCCAGGATTCCCACATCCCTGAATCCAAACCTCTAGGAGGGAACTGGGGAAAGCAAACTCCTCCCCACCGTAAGGGCAGAACAAGTCTGAGACTGAATGTGTACAAGTCCATGGGGCCAGATGACATGCACCCCAAGGTCCTAAGGGAGCTGGCTGAAGTGGTTGCCAAGCTGCTCTCCATCATATTTGAAAAGTCATGGCTATCAGGCAAAACCCCCGGGAACTGGAAAAAGGAAAAAATCACTCCCCTTTACAAGAGAGAGAGAGGATGTACAGCAAAAGAAGATAATGACAGTACCTTATAATGGGACACAAGCACTACGGAGCAATAGCAGACAACTAAGAAGAAAAATTGGCTCATCTAACAGTGAGAACTAAAAAAGAACACAATCCCTATCCAAAGAGATACTGCTCCCTTTGCTGCTAACCCTTAAATGAGGGTGAGGAGGGATGGATCCAGGCTCCACCCCTTCCAGTCACTCAGGTCTATTGCTTGCACCTGAGCTCCCTGGGTTAGCCATGCCGTTTCACCTGGTGCTCAACCATTGGTTCAGGCCATGAACTGGCAATTCCACTGCACTCCACCCCTTCACAGCATGAACCAATGATTGAGCAGGTCAGGGGGTTAGATCCTGCTGTTTTGGCAACCTAAAGTACATCACAATACATATACAATACCCATTGCAATGTAAGGTATCAAGGCACTGAAGGCCATTGTTGACAGTCTTTGTGGATCTGTAGGACCAGTATTTGATGTTCCTTCTGGAGGCATATCTTCAAGGACCAGTAACAGTTCAGGTTTGTACTCACTGGTTCCCAGAAGTTCAACAGTCCACCACTGGGTGTCACAATGTTTTCTCATGGACATTGGAGCATGCTGGAGCAGTGTTGCTCCTACTGGTGGTCCTGTGAACTTAACAACCTCAAGGGGAGTAGTACAGATGTTTAATAGGTACAAAGAGGGGTAGGATATCTATCCATGGTAGGATACAGGCCATGTTTCTGTCTTGAGTCAACACCTCTTCTTGTACCAAGTACCACACCCTTTGGCCTGATATCTGTGGCTAAATCACTATATCAGGTACCAAAGGGGGGGTGTTCTAATTTGCCACATGGACATGATTAATGTCCCCTTTGTGATGAAGATCAGGATGTCAACTAATACCTCTGCTGGCCATGTATTGACTACCAGAGAATTTACTGATCCCCCAACCCCTAATGATCTCCCCCAAAGTGCAAACAGACCACACCATTTTGGTCCTACTTGCACCTTCCAAGGCCATTTTACCTTGTGTTTTCCGGGCTCAAGATCCTCAGGGACAGCAAGCAAAAGATTATTCATGGTGCCATTTTGTGGCTTGAGCAAGGTGTCCTTGCCTGTAATTTGTATCTTAAGTGGGGATGCCCAAGTTGTCTCACCTTCAGCATTAGAGTAAGGCCTTTTGTTTTGGACAATCTCTCTCATTTTATTTGACTCATTAGCCTCAATTCTAATTACATTGTATTATATTGTGTTATCTCACATTCCGCTATCGTATTTAGTAAATTAGTTTTCTCCCTTAGCTCGTTGCCACTGTTTTGTTTTTAGGCCCATCTCCCTACCTTTTCCCTACCCCCCCCTTCCCTCTCTCCTAGGGCATGGGCCCATTAGTCACAGAACCAGGCCAAACCAGCTCAAAACCTTTGACAAGTGGCATTCAGGATACTGTTATATCTTTCTATTAGGCTTGCTCCTGTTGGATTGTACAGCAGATGAAACTTCCATTTGATGTTGTTGTCTTTGGCCCACTTCTGCACAGTTGCACCCATGAAATGCATACCTTGGTCACTCTTGATGACCTGAGGAGTCCCGTGTTATGCCATCAGCCTAGTTAGTACCTTTAATGGTATAGGCTTGGTTTGCCTTTGGTACAGGATAGGCTTGCATCAATTCACTTGCTGTATCAATGCATGTTAGGGCATATCTGGCCTCCTCAGATTAAGAAAGTGTACCTATATAATCTATCTGCCATTGTTGTAATGGGTTGTGTCCTCTAGTGAGATGGGCTTTTGTTTCCAGCAGAGGTCGTCTCACTTGCGAGCAAGTATCACATTATGGACATGCTTGTACAATATCTGGGAACTGTATGAGCAGCTCCCGTGCTTTGCTGCTGCCCACATGGTCTTCTCTCTTGCACGTCATGGTCTCCAATATAGCCAGTAGGCAATGTCTTCTGCTGATGTATTTTTCAGCCATCTAACTCAAGCCAGTGCATCAGCTTCATCATTGCCCAGCGACTGCAAGGGTTAACGTCCAAAGATGTGATGTGCTTTTACAGTCCTAGCAAGGTTTTGTGTAAAGGGGTAGTATTTTCCCCAGCTGAACCATCCAATTATGTTCTCCAGGAATGCCATTTTTAGTACTCGTCAGGTGGATTAGAATGAAATACCTTTAGGAGGTTGAGTCCTGCTGCAGTCACCAATAACATGGTAAAAGAAGACAATAGCAGTGCCTTCTGATGGGATACAAGCACTATGGAATGATAACAGGTATAAAAAAAAAAAAAAATTAACTCACTCCTGACAACCAGTGGCTGCTCAAGAAAAATAAAATCACTATTCAGAGAAATGTTGTTTGCTTGGCTGCTAACGCTTAAATGAGGGTGAGGAAGAATTGGTCCAGGCTCCACCCCTTCTGGTCACTCAGGTGCATTGCTTGCACCTGTGCTCCCTGTGCACCTGCTCACCTATTATGGAGGGGTATCCGGGAAAGTGAAGCAGGTAGGGAGGGTGGTTGCCCGCAGTGCCAAACTGGGACTCACTTCCAACCATCAACTTTTTGGTCCCCTACCTCAGCCTGACAGCAACAGGGCAGGGGCTCCACCACACTCTGGGGGGCATTTCCCCAGAGCTCTTCCCTCTGGCATGCCAGGGAGTTATTCCACCAGTCTCCTGCTCACATGCCCTGATCATCTTCGTGGCCCTCCTCTGGACCTGGTCCAACAGCTCAATGACCTTCTTCTGTTGGAGGCCCCAGAACTGGATGCAGTACTCCAAGTGGGGTCTCATAAGAGTGGAGTAGAGAGGCATAATCACCTACCTTGACCTGCTGGTTACATTTCTCTTGATGCAGCCCAGGATACGTTTGGTTTTCTGGGCTGCAAGTGCACATTGCTGGCTCATGTTGAGTCTTTCATCAACTGACACCTCCAAATCCTTCTCCTCAGGGCTGCTCTCAAGTCATTCACTGCCTAGCTTGTATATGTGTTTGGGATTGCCTCGACCCAGATGCAGAACCTTGCACTTGGCCTTGTTGAACTTCATGAGGTTGGCATGGGCTCACCTCTCAAGGTCTCTTTGGATAGCATTCCTTTTCTTTGGCATGTCAATTGCACCACTCAGCTTGGTGTCATCTGCAAACTTGATGAGGGTGCACTCAATCCCACTGTCCATGTCACCTACAAAGATGTTAAATAGCACCAATCCCAACAACGATCCCTGAGGAATGCCACTCAGCACTGCTCCCCACTGGGACACTGAGTCGTTGACTGCAACTCTCTGTGTGCAACCATCCAGCCAATTCCTTATCCAGTGTATGGTCCATCCATCAAATCC